ACTTCAACAAAATTATTCGCTTGATTTACTTCAACAAAATTATTCGCTTGACTTACTTCAACAACATATTCATTTGACTTACTTCAACAACATATTCGTTTGACTTACTTCAACAACATATTCGTTTGACTTACTTCAACAACATAATCACTTGACTCACTTTTAACAAAACATTCGCTTGACTTACTTTCACCATATTTGCTTGAATCACTTTCATCATATTTGCTTGACTCATTTCAACATATTCGCTTGACTCATTTTCAACAACATATTCGCTTAACTCACTTTCACTGTATTCGCACATTGGATTATTATTAGCTCGTAAGTATAAATTTCATTGCATTTATTTTTAATTAGTTTGCAATTCGATATCACAAATTTCCATTTATTTCTCTACTGAATCATTAGGGTGTAAGTACAAATGCTATCATACTTGTTTCTCAAATAATTTTAAGTTGTACTTTCATATTTATCATATTTTTGTTGTTGAAATATTAGTAAGTAAGTATAGAATTATTATATTACTATTGTTTCTAAACATTATCATTAAATGCACTTTGACGATTTGCTTTTTTTAATAACAAATTTTTATTAAATTATTGGAACGCTACCTGCACGAAGTGGAGAAATGAAACCTGCGAAAGCTATAAACATGGAAGACAATGCTTTGCCAACTAAAAGACAGCCTTCAAAAGTGTCTAATAAAAAAAGTATTAATGGTATATATGGTTCAAATGTAGTAAAGATATTTATAAATAAAAACTAATTCCAACTTTTTTTCGTAGGAAAAAAAAATAATCAATATGCATATATGGAATAATTAAGTACTCAAAACAATAATTATGCATTACACGAAGCCACCGACAATTACTAGACATCAAATATAATGATGACCGTGAAATTCATAGTGCTGAATGAAAGTTATTACAATAATAATATGTAGTTTGCATATATTTGGTATGTTTTATGTACTAAATCAAAACAAGATTTGAATAATATTAGTATTATTCTGTGATTGCAATAAAATATAACTTGAATGAATACACATTATTCTGTAGTAATATATTGTACATAATTTGTTTTATTTTAATCAAATCTGTAATAAAATTTATACAATTCTAGAATATTTCTTTAATAAAATCTGATTAAATATACAATAAATGTTGTA